TAGTATGAAATCCTGATATCTTAATTATAAATGGTAAAAAACGGGCAAGTGGGYAATGCTTTGCTGTACATAAGGGGTCACAGTAATGGAAGTGTCAAATTTAATTCTATGATATAAAATCATTGCAAGACGAAAAATGATTCTGAACGAAGATGGTCTGTCAGCCTATAATTTTGTCGAGTATATTTGATGATTTATTATTGTGATTAAATTAATTTATTTTACTATTAAGTATTAGTACTACAGTAGGTTGAATTAAATTTTGCTAATTTAAAAAATAATTTTATACCACAAAAAGCAACTACTAAAATCGTTAATGGCTAAAAAAAAATTKATGTATTTATGTATTTTTTAGATTTTTCGATTACAGTATGAACACTATGAACTACTTACATGGAACCTTGTATAAAATTTTCAAATTTTAGATAACATTAAAAAAAAAAATGTTATGAATTTTTAACTCCAAATAATTTGCGAATTTTTGTGATTTTTACGAAATTTGTCAAAATTTTAAATTCAGRTGCTTATAAAGAAATATTATGGATATTGGATTTACACTTTTTTCCCGCTAGGTAATACCAACTCACGAGGAACCTTGTACTCGTATTACATTTTAAGTTTTTTCACGGAATGAATTGTTATTAATTATTATATTTTTTTATGCTTTGTAACTCAATATTTMCCTAGGTATTTAAAACGACAAAAAAAAATTACTTAAGTCGTTATTTATTGAGGTTTTTTKTGTATTGTAATTGTATATACGTACCCTGTGCTGTTTATTCTGTCTATGAATTTGGCTTTACCGATAATTATYTCTTTGGGCTTAACAATGTAAAGTTTAGGCTGGACAGTTATTCGATTGTTGGCCTTTTTCACCGCTAGCAGCGTTTGGTTTTTCTGTATGGCCAAACACTGTAACGCCCAAACAGACAACAATGAGAGAATTATACATCTTATTGACAACATTGTCCTACTGATACTAAACAAATGTGTTGTGAATTAGAAATTAACGAGTCGCATAATGGTCAATGACTTTTGATCCATTTGATAATTAAATTAGTTTATAAATGGGTATAACGTTATTAGATAAGATATCGGGAGCATATATTATATAAGTTGTTCCTATAATATAATATTGTGAAGTAGACAGCTAATAGCTATAAATTAATTCTAAAATAAAACAAAAATGAAGAAAAAATATTACTTTTTAAATATTACTTTCTAATTTGATGTACTCTAAATTCTAATGGTAAAATTATGCGAGAATAAATAATATGTTTTATAGATAAAATAAGTGAAACAATTTTTTTAAATTAAAAAAAAAATTAAAATAAAGCAAACTCTTATAAAACTACTTTTTTATACGATGGTCATATTTTTTATTGGATGCGTAAGCGGTAAACCACGGAGAATGTTTAAAAATTAATAGAAGCTGTTAAACATTTTGAACAAACAGCTATGCACATGAATATAGGTACATAATATGATTGATAATGTCAATAAACGATGGCGGCGCCGTGGAAGCAATGCGAAAGCAGATCCCGCGGCGTCGTCGGTTAAAACGGAAAAAAAAAAGGTACATAATATGATACATAGTTATTCGCTAAGATATCTACATGGCTACATACAATTATATAAAACAAACTATTCATTTGGGTATAACACAATTTCGAATTTCTTAAATTTATATTATTGAGAGGTAGGTTATTATTATTATTTAGCTATTTGTTAATTCAGCCAAAATGCTTTGATAAAGTCTTAATTACAAAAAAATATATCGATAACTATCTAATATTATAATAAAATTTAAATAATACGTTAATTGTAATTATTTAACAATATTTAATAATTAATAGGCAATGGGCTGCAGGTAATAATTATTATCATTTGTTATTTATTTAAAATTTAAATATAAATTAAAAACTTTTTATACATTTATACTAACTGAACCTCGCTTATACACATCATACGAAGTGCTAGTCTGAGAATTTTCAAAAATTTAAGTATAAACTTTATGACGTCCATAAAATAATTCATATTATTATCAGCATAAATTCAGGTGGTGATAATCGTAAATAAATCTAAGAAATATTATCAATTAGAAAACTATTTTAATTTCTATTATATTTAGTATTAATTTAAAAATTGGTAGATTATAACTATAACATAACTACCTAACCTACTCGTGTAATATGCTACCTACCAATAATTCGTTGGTGTAGTACACGCAGTACCTAATCTGGCTGGTTAGGTTAGGCCTGGTTTTAATTTATAACTTATAATTTGTATTTTGTATAATTTAAGTTTTTAGTTGACTATAAAAATGGTTTTTTAAATTATATTATTATTATTGTTTTAAATTAAATTAATTTTTTTTATCAGGAACTAGTTACCAACGTTTTAATTTATAGTTTACGTGTATTATTATTGTATTTTATATACCTAAATATTTTATTTTGTTTTTAATTAACTATAATATTATACTAATGATTTTTTTAAATTATATTATTATTAATTTTTAATTTAATTTAATTTAATAGTACATGTTGGCAATGGCAACGTTGCACTCATTTTCGTACGCAATCGTAATGTTTTTGAGGCCTAGGTAGAGAAATCGTACGCAATCGTAAAAATGTACGCAATCGTTTTACTAAAAGGGACAATCGTACGCAATCGTATATCACCGACCTGGCTAACCTAACCCTTTAAAAACTTTACGAGTGTTTAATGTAATTTACTTATTGATTATTGAATATTGATTAATAATAATATATTAAACTAAAATTTACTTAATGTATTTCTGTCAATTATCGAGTATTTTAATACGTTTTATATCATTAAGTTGATTATACGTAATTTCATTACACTTAAAGTTAATAGTCGTGTTGTGTTTTAATGGATTGCCACCATTAGTTGACGGTCTAACAAATCTGTTGAAAATAATATGATATAATATCTAAAAGTAAGTTATCGTAGGTACCTATTTGTGAATATTAACAAATGAYCGCGATAGCTATTTAGCTTATATAGTATAATTTACCACCATTCTTATATTATGTCGTTTTTTTATTGATCTCGAATTCGAAACTATAACCATTAACTATTGTATAAGGTGATAGGGATAGAACGGTTGGTTTGGAACACGTGTATGTGAGGCAAGGATTTATCACTAAGAACCCGAATGGTAAATTTTTTAACATGTTAGGTTAATGAGTACACTACTACACTACATGAGTAGGTACCTACTTAAAAATGTAATCTTTCTAAAACATAAGGTCTATCTATTGAGGTATTTAATAATTTTAGTAAAAATACACCCTGAAGACAACTTCTCCTTTTATTAAATAATTATAAATCAAAATATAATAATACATCATCATAATCACTAATCAGAATGCCATGGACATTTAACATTAAATTTGAAAAATGAAAAAACATAGATAACGATTTTTCATTGACTTTAGATATTTAACTATATTATGTAATAATTATTTGAGTACTAAATAATAAATGCATTCTCTAATTGATACCTGAAAAATTCGATATAAAAATACATATTTATTAAAACATTGAGATTATAAAAATTAGTAAATGAAACTTGGATTCAAAAAATCTTTATTAAGAGGACGCCACACCCGCATGTGTTGTCTTCGTCGTACAAGTGCGTAGCATAACAAATTTTACGCTCAGCAGATCACGTTTATCTCCGTTGTTTTAAAATTTAGAGTGAATGTACCTATTATAAAAATTAAAGACAAGATTATTACCAAGTGCATCTCATATGCTTTTTATTATATTTTAATTTTAATGAGATATTCATTTGCTACCAATAAATAAATTTAAAAGTTTAGATTTTGTGATCCATTATTCATTAATTCTAAACTAAGTATGGATTATGATTAAAATAGCCATGTTTAAAAACTTACAATTAAGAGGACGCCACACCCGCATGTGTTGTTTTCGTCGTACAAGTGCGTATAGTATACCTAATTTTAACGCTCAGCAGATCACGTTTATCTCCGTTATTTTAAAATTTAGAGTGAATTKACCTATCATAAAAATTAAAGGCAAGATTATTACCGAGTGCATCTCATAGTGTATCTCATTAAAATTAAAATATAATAAAAAGCATATGAGATGCACTTGGTAATAATCTTGTCTTTAATTTTTATGATAGGTCAATTCACTCTAAATTTTAAAATAACGGAGATAAACGTGATCTGCTGAGCGTTAAAATTAGGTATACTATACGCACTTGTACGACGAAAACAACACATGCGGGTGTGGCGTCCTCTTAATTGTAAGTTTTTAAACATGGCTATTTTAATCATAATCCATACTTAGTTTAGAATTAATGAATAATGGATCACAAAATCTAAACTTTTAAATTTATTTATTGGTAGCAAATGAATAATAATCAACTCTTTTAAATTATTTTTCAAAATCAGTAAGATAATACAACACCTACCTATGCTAATGCATTTGATTTAAAAAATAACGATAACGCATGTAAAAATCGTTAGGTTTAGCTAATTAAATTAAATGTCATACTTATTTATTTTTTAATTACATAATTATTATAACTACTTATATTACTGGTAATTAATATTATCATATTCTTCACTTTTTATATTTTTAAAATAATAATTTTTCGATTGTACGTAATTTCATGTGTTGAATAAACACTCAAAAAGCTGCTCTCTGGTTCCAAAATACCTGCAAAATGATGCCAGCGTATTTTTTTGTTATTAACCTTGGTGGTTGGCATAACCTTACCTAACCGAGTACGCGTTTAAAACTGTTAAATCACAATGTCTTAAAATGTCTATCACTTATAAGCGAACCAG